TTTTAAAGCAAGCTTACAATAAGGCACGAAATTATGCAAACACAGTGATTCAAAAAAGTAAAAATAAGTGGCTTAAATTAGAAATTAATAAGAACATACATAATCCTAGAAACCTATGGCAGATATTAAATAAATTAACGGGGCGAATTACAAAACCGATTGATGATGTATTGCTCGACAACTTTGGTAACAGTAATTATCCTCCATATAAGATTGCATGTTCATTTGCTGAATCTTTCGACGTAAACGTCAAAAAATCAATCCCTAAATGTAATCTGCCTTTATTAGATAAGTCATTGTATAGTGACAACGCGAATGTCTCCTTACGCTTTGTACCTGCTAATGCTAATGCAGTAGAAAAAATAGTACGCAACCTAAACTGTAATAAAGCGCCAGGTATTGACGGGATACGACCTATAGACATAAAAAAAATATGCAACTTAGTCAGTGACGTAATTGCAAACCTTATTAATGCCTGTATAAAAAGTGGAAAGTATCCCCATATTTTAAAAACTGGCATAGTTAGACCTATCTATAAGAAGGGTAGCCCTATGGTGCATGACAACTATAGGCCAATTACTATTTTACCAGTTATAGATAAAATTGCTGAAAAATACATCTGCAGATAGGTTTATGATTTCTACGCTAAAAACAACATAATAACGGAAAAACAGTATGGATTTCAACCAAAGAAAAATACCACTCAACTGTTATCGACCTTCACTAACAGCGTTTACAAACATTTAGATAATAAAAGACACGTCTTGGTAGTCTTTGTAGACTATACTAAAGCGTTTGATACACTTAATCATAACAAGCTAATAGACAGTCTTAATGATAGTGGTATCAGAGGACCTTTATTATCATGGTGCAGAGATTACCTTAATGACAGAAAATATGCGGTAAAAGTGGGAGATGCCATTAGTTATTATGTTAACTCTTCGGTAGGCACTGCACAAGGCTCTGTAATTGGACCATTGCATTACATCACCTATGTTAATAGTCTGGCAAACATCATCAGACGTTGCGAAATATACCAGTATGCCGATGATACGTGCTGCGCAATAGAAACTGGCCGCATTCTGCAAGAAGAACTTAATATATTAACACAATGGTCTCACGATAAAGGATTAGTTATCAATGCTAACAAGACCAAGCTAATGTATATAAGTTCAAGTCACAATAGGAGTAAAGTAATACCTAGCATTATCATGCATGACCACCTATGCCTTCACAAAGAACAATTGACTTTCATTTGTCATTGTGCAGAATTAGAGCCGGTAGAAACTCAAACTTACTTAGGACTTATAATAGATAGTCGACTCAACTGGAAACATCATATTGAGGATGTGTGTAATAGACTTCGATAAGCATATTAGCAAAATTCTCCATAATTAAGTATAAAGTCCCTTATAGAATTCTATTACAATTATATAAATCACTGGCTGAATCTAAAATTTCATATGGCTTGTCTAGTTATGGGCGAACTTACAAATCACATTTAGATAACATTTATTCATTCCAACTTCGCATCTTAAAAACTATAGTCCCAGACCAAATTAAAAACTTACACAGGGATTCCGATTACCATAACCTATTCGATTACTGCAAAATTATACCGGTGCATAAAAAAGTAGAATATACTCTCTTAAATGAAGAATTTTTTTTAATGAAGATTTAAAAAAATATGGCATTTCTAACTATTCTAAAACCCGCAGTACGGCCAAACCAAAATTAGATAAACCTAATTATAATAATTTATACGGAAAACATACTTTAGAATACATGGTTCCGAATTTAATTAATCATTTACCAATATCTTTTCAAAATGAAATTAATTATAAAAATATTAAACACAAATTAAAAAACTATTATACGAACTGTATATATCAGACTTCAGACTTAAAAAATAATAAAATTAAATACTATAATCCCCACTAACTATATTTCTTATATTTACCTATATGATATACAACCTAAGAATTATCATTATATTCGTTTACTATTAAATATTAAGTAACTAACTAATTGATACCCCTGTATACGCAACGCAGGAACGACCGGTTTTTGACGCAGTGAAGTGGGCGGTGGCAAGATCACACCTTTCTTGTTCACTATGAGGTTACTACGTATGTATTGCCGATTTACCGCGTGTTGACCGTGCCAATTGCTGTTTAGTTTTCAATAGTGTTGCGTTAAACATATTTTTGTAGATTGAGGTGTAGCTCATATTTAAAAAAAATATGTCGGCGGTCTGTGGTACACGGTAAAGTTTTTCATTAAGCTTATGTTGTACCATATTATATCCTTTTTGTCATGTATAATATGTTAAATAAATAAATAAATAAATAAACCTAATACAATATCAATACATGCAATAAAATAACATATAAATAACTAATACATTAAAAAAATATGATACACATATACATACGTACATACATAAACATACACATATACATATATATATATATACACATATATACATATATCCCCAAATATATACCACTAACAACAACATAAACAAATAAATACAAAACTACATAATCACATAATTTATCCTAATGATTTTCGAACGATTGAGACAAGTAATGCTCTTTATGAAGTCGCTTAAAGACTACAATAGTCTGAGTTTCACGTATATAAAAAGCTAGGGCATTCCAGAGCTTAACAGACTGTACAGTAAAAGATTTATTAAAGAAAGATGTATTGTGAGTTGGTACCCTTAAAATGAGTTTTCTTGAAGAGCATAAAGGTTCCCCTGGAAGCCCAACAAAACTAAACTTCTCCTTAAGATAAGGAGGAGTAGAAGGGTGAAATAAGACACAGTACAGAATAGAAAGAATATGCATGTTCCGGCGAAATTGGATAGGTAACCACTTGAGACGTGAGCGAAATTGGGAAATGTGGTCAAATTTGCGCAATCCAAATATGAACCGAATATTAGTATTTTGAAGTCTCTCAAGCTTAGTTAGCTGGTCTTTAGTTATGTCTACATAGCTTGCGTCAGCATAGTCGAGAATCGGAAGGAGAAGAGACTGTGTGAGCATAATTTTTGTAGGAATGGGAAGAAATGATCGAAGGCGACGCAGTGAACTAAGAGCGACAAAGGTTTTCTTACTTACCTCATTCAGTTGGCGTTTCCAATTTAAGGAACTATCAAGGTAAACACCAAGATTTTTGACATTGTCAAAGTTAGGGATCACAACCCCATCGAATACAACAGGTGGTATGGCGAACCGTTAATCTATAACTGAAAAATATAGGCCTGTTACTTTTTAGGATTGACATTTAGGCCATATGTTTGACTCCACTCATGAATCATATTTAAGTCATTGTTTAATGTAGCGATTGCATTCGGCAAATTCTCAAAAGTTGACTGGGTGTAAATCTGGACATCATCCGCATACATGTGGTAGAGAGAATAAATTTTATGAGTAATTGAATTAATGAAAATGGAAAAGAGTAAAGGTGACAACACGCCACCCTGCGGCACGCCTGCAGTAATATCACACCAAGATGAGTGAGTTTCATCAACATGAATACACTGCCGACGGCCATAGAGATAACTTTTAAAAAGTACAAACGAAGAATAAAATGCTGCGAAGAAAAAGAAATAATCTAATGCTTACTTTTTGACTTTCAAAACTAAAAATACAAAACAAAAAAATTATTGAGGAATTGCAAAGTATTCAGGAAGCGAACAATGTCAAATATAACAACTCAACGATTAGTTTTGATAGTAAGCACTATGAAACATTAGTTTACTACATCACATTGCTGGCATATAATCATCAATCAGTAATAAAGAATATTAGTGATCGATGCATATAATACAGTACCAAATGAACATCTTCCTAATACCACATACCTTCCTAATATGTCCGTCCGTCGTTCCTGTCTGTACTAGTTTAAATACACACAAGTTTTCACAAATAACCTTATTACTATACTTCCAATTTTCCGATAATTTTATTACAAACGTTAATAAAAAACAAGTTTTGAAAATCCAAAAGTGCATGAATAATGCTTATATGATCGTCGAAAAAATATAATATTGTGGGAGTTTTCTTATTTGGTTGGGCTGTAAAAATATATAAATGAAAATGATAAATTTACATAAATATCAATAAAATAATCGGAGCGGAGCTATCATGGCGCAAGAAAACGATTCTTTGAAATTTATCTCCTCCGTAACCGTACCGTAGGCCAATTTACATAACTTTTTCGGCAATATTTGTACAACAAGCAAGGTTTGTAACCAATAAAAATCTGAAATTGCCACTACTATAGCAAATATACCCCATAATTCCCACAATTTTCACACTTCGCAGGCGGGTTGGCAGCCGCAGGTACTATTGTTTTCAGTTGTTATTAGGAAGGTGCTGCTGCCTATATCCTGTTTCAGTTTCCCCCTGTCGCCTCTTACGACACCCGTGAGATGATATGGGGTAGTGAATCCTCCCACGCCACACAGAAAGTTCTACAAATGTTTCAAAATTATTCAGTCCTGTCACCGTTTTCTTTTCCTTTTTAAAAGAGTTACCTCCATAATACGACTTTCTCCTGTATCATGGGGCAGTTTACATATATTAATTTCACAAGGACAAACATCCAACCCCAAAAAATTATTGGTACCTTAGCGCTGCAACTCAATGCTAAGCCACTGCGCCACGGAGCCGTCGATCACGGACAATCGGTATCATGAGTGCAGCGTGGCGCTTGGATACGTTCTTAGAGGAACCAGCTTAATTTATAGTTTTTATAATTCACGAGACGGAGCTGATATGATCTGTTCGCGGCTAACCGCTCCGCCAGGCATGCACACTGACACACTGTTCATGTACATGTCGAACCACATCTAAAGGTCGACCGCACTAGTGAATTTCAAGAACTATATATAACTATATAGCCCTAGCTTGGTTAACTAACTTCCCCCGAAGTGTGCTGACCCCAAAGTTAAACATTAATCTATCAGTAAACGAAATATTGTCACTAACCTGCAAATTTAATTTGAACCCAGTGTCCAGTGGGGTGGCACGGACTGTACGCTTTGCTGGTGGGCCTCCATCTGTTATTAACATTTTTTTAATTAAAAGCACAATCAAGATATTCGTAGTCGAATTCATGGATATGTAGAAGATATGAAGAGGGCTATGCTCGGAGTTTCTCTGTGTAATAGCGTTTCCGCGGTGGAACTGGAGTAACCGACATAGCACATAGAGATCATTAAGTAAAAGTGGCAATGGCTTAGCCATATAGCTCGCAGAACCTATAGCTGATGGGGTGGAACGGTTTACAATTTGATAAACCTGATTTTCTGCTCAGAAGCCGCTTGTCAAAATGACTTTTAATTGGAAAAATATTGGGTAATAGTGATTTTGGCCGGATTATAACGGTTAAAAGTGGTTTTAACGGTTAAAAGTTGTATATATCTTTTTTATATACTCTATTTATAAATACTTATTCGTATGATTAGGTTATTTTTGTATAATAAAACTCACACTAATCTTGCAATATCAGTGACAGTAGATAAAGGTGCGGCTGAAATGGTCCTTAGGCCACCCTAAAGCCACATACATTATAATAGTAACTATCGTAAACCAAAAATTAAAATATGATATTAAAAGCATTTAACTACAATGTTGGTCAAAACCACTTTTGACTATAAAAATCAGTCAAACTGTTTTTGTCAAAGGACATCGGTCAAAACCATTTTTGCTTAATTTTCTCAATAAAAAGTGTTTGTGATCAGTTATGAGTTTTGACTGTAACATACCTATATAATAACCCTACTATATAAATCCTAATATATAATAACCCTACTATATAATTTTGTATATAATATACAAAAATCCCGTGTCATGATGTTCGTTCACGCTAATCTCCGAAACCGCTAAACCGATTATAATGAACATTTTGTAAATGTGTATATCTTGCTTCAACTTGAGAGATAAAATAGTATTTATCCCAATAATTGACCCTCAATATTTTTTCATGCCAATTCAAGGATTTTTTATAGAATAAAGGGTCTTTGGAAGGAGCAAGTCAGTTAGTATAATATAATTACCTTTTAAATAAAAAGAGAACGCAGAGTTCCAAAACTAAATAAAATGATTTCCACTTAATATCCCGTTCGCCATGCGTATCAACTATGGCAAAATGCCCTCTGGAGGATCAACTGGAGGCCTCTGTTAGCAGTGGACTTTTATAGGCTGTAATGGATGGATGAGCTTCTGAAGTCGATGCTAAGATAGTGTATCGAAGAATTAAGGCAAAATAAGTGATTTTTTTGTTATTAAGTTGTTTTTACTTTGTTTAAAGTTTAATTATTTTAACCTTTTGAAAGGACTAAAAGATATCGGTACGGTGTAGCGGCGGTGCAACAATATCCACTACCCCATATCGTCCAGTGGGCGTCGTCGACAGAGTGAAACAAATCAATAGATGGGCAGCAGCATCTTCCTAATGACGACTAAAAATAAAAAACCTCCTGTCTGTTGCCAACACGCTTGCCAAGCATGGCAACTGTGGCATATATCTCCCCTAGGATACAATCTATGTGAGAGGCCTTTGTTCAGCAGTGGTCTTTAATAGGCGGTAACGGTAATTAACATTACAAATCCAGTTACAACTCTAATAGTAACATTAAAAAATTCATTCCCTATTTTTCCATTAGGGGTAATTTATTTCTAAAATTTACATGGAACCATCACTAAAGTATATTTTAACGATTTCTTATATTTAGATAAGTTTCCACCAAATTCTGCTTTTGTGTTTTATTACTTTCATAATTATTAACATTTTTTTTTCAATTTTATTTATGTAGGATAACAACAGCTACAGAAATATTATAACAAACAGATTTTACAAATATATTTAGAAAATTTGGCTAATAACAGTCATCCACATTTATTTAAATCAAATTATAATTGCAATAGAGGCAAAAATAATGTGATTAATCAATTAAATAAAGCAAAAACAATGTTATAAGTACATACACACCATTAAATTATCTAAAAATACATAGTAAAATAAAATTATTTATAGTCAGGAGCATATTCTGGTTACAAGAAATTTAAAGCATAGCTCCTTCTCTGACTCGGAGTCCATATGACTGGAGCACTGCTGTATTCCAGTCTGAAGGATATAAAGAGCCAGTATGATTACAGATTATAAGGTATTCCATTTTAGTCGTCAGGGGTGACAACGCATTTATAGCCATCATTGTATGAAGTTGGCTTCAGATGTCTATGGAGTGCAGCAGCCATTTACCATCAGGTGAACTTTGGGTTCGCTTGTCAGTTTGAGTTCTATAAAAAGAAACGCAACAACACTTATCTCGCTAAGTTAGCAAGTAATATTTGGTGACGGTTAGTATTATTAAGTTATTGATAAAGAAAATTTAAACAAGCTAGCTCCATTTAAGACAACTTAAAGGTAAAATGCAAGTATAATGGCTCAGGAGTGTGCTTTGTGGCATACTTTAGGAAGCATATGTTCAGCTGTGGACTTGTGAAGGGTCATAATGATGATGGTGATAAAAGGTAAACCACAGCCAGCTTACATCTCAGTGCTGGGCACAGGCCTCCAAAGGAAAGCATTCAAAGGCCTACCAAAATGCATGTTGATGGAAGTTTCGCAACTAACAATTTTGTTGGTGGTGCCAAAGATTGAACACAAATTGCCCAATATTAAAATTAAACTTAAGAGGTTTTTTTAAGGCTATTAAAGCCAGCACTTGATTACTACTATTCCACCTCATGGTAAAAGGAGTATCCTTTAAAACAGAAAGGTTGGCTACTTGCACCAGTCCTCTAAGTGGTAAGATTGGTTCTAACCATATTGGTATCATTAACAAGTCTCAGCAGACGTTTCTGTGGAGACCAAATGTGCTTGGTGGCATTTTGTAGCACCAATCAACTGTCCGCCACTCTTCCGCAAAGACATTTAACTTCCTAGCAGCTGCTTAGGCCCTAGACTCAATGAAACACCCAAAGTACAGGTTCGAGGAAACCTCAAACGCCAGGCCACCTATGAGTTACCACGTCCTCAACGCCGACAAGCAATTATTAACATTTTCGTGCTAATTTATTCAACCCAGCGGATTAGTCGAAAAAAATTTGAACACGTAAATTTAATTCAAACACGATTAAAAGTTTATGGATAATTATTTATGTTTACTATTTACATAATTATCGATAATAATAAATCATTGAAAACCTTGTATTGTACATTATCTTGTTTTCATTGATAACTTTTAATAAAATTACTAATCGTATCCTTACCTTTCCGTGGGTAATTTGTTGAATTATGCTTGAACTCCATATTCTAAGAGGAATAATGAAATGAAAAGTCACACTCTGAATAATTCTGCCACTTTATTTTTAACAGTTTTGACAATGTATTTCTAATTTCTATACAAAACACTTCGTATATTTTAGATTTTATAAAGTAGGTAGGTAGGTACTTTGCGTTTTGTTTTAGATTTAGCGCATTTTCACTGCTATTTTTTTATTTAAACTGGCTTTACGGCTCTGGGTTCTGGCTTTTCTGAGCCTATAATTCACAATAGCGGTGGGTAGTAGCGGCTTTTTTGAGTAACGAAACGAAACTATATATCGAATATCAATAGCGGCTTTTGAAACACTCTATTTTAATAGAGGGTTTTGAAACAATCTATTTTAATAGCGGCTTCTATAGAGTGTTTCACGACGTGTTTAATTGCCGTTACCGTTTCGTATAGAATTAGACATGGTGTTAATGGTTAAAATTATTTATTTGTTTATTCATTTCGCACGGTTTGATAAAAATATCACTTGAAAAGATTTAACGGCAAACAATTTATTTAATAATTATGATTATGATAAATTCACCCACAAGTTCAGAATAAAATATTGAATATAAGTTTGATTTTATAGCAAATAATTATTACAATGCTTATTTTTAGACATCTCAAGCCTACATTTTTATGTAATAAATCAAATGAATACATGTATTGATGTTTTTATAGAATATTGGCCTTCATGGTTGTAGTATCTTTTGTAAAAAAGTCCCAAAGTACACTGGCATTACTTCGAGATGTTTTTGATAACTATCGCATAAAGTTTTAGTATTATTTTTACACTTAGTTACTTAAACTACTTACTGTACAATTATTATTATTAACACTAACATATACAATTGTATTTAGTTCTTATTTTACTAAAAATATTATTATTATTGCACAAAAAGAAAACAAAAATATTAACAAACGCGCCTAAAAAGTAAAAACAAACCGTGTCATTAAACTTAAACACAAGACTAATTTAAACTGGGCCAAGGCCACTTAAATTATGGAATTTGAACTATTTTTTTGTTAAAACATGCACACTTACTTTCTCATTTCTAATATCGCATCTATACGAAGGGAATAGAGTTATAGGTCAAATGCAAAAGCACCCGCGCTCACTCGACATTCGACGACCGGTGGTACTTCTACCACAGCGTAAAGAGTGGGTTTCTTTACTCATTTGCTTTGCTTCTACTTCAACAGCCGAAGCCGTCGCTGATGCGTCGCGAAAATAGCCGAATAAACGTTTTGTTACTTATCGCTCTTACGTGATTCGTGAAACGTGAATCGTGTTACTGAGTAAAACGTCTACTGTAATAGATAGTTTCGTTGCACTGCAATAACCCGCTACCCGCTATTGTGTGAATAGATAGTTTCAGTAACTAGTTACGTTTTGTAACGACCACTCCTAATTCACAATATGTTAATGGGTCACATTGCGAAGTTTTTAGAAGATTTTGACGACAGCTCAACCCAGCTGACAGCTGATGACGCCAGCCACTCAAGTTCATAAGGCGCCCAAGTGATCAAAATAACTTGGGGTTTATATCAACATAAAAGCACTTGTTTCTTCGTTTTCTCTAATAGTTTACACACGCAGACACTTAATTCTCAAAATTGCATTACTTTTATGATTCAAAATCCACTTCATACCATTATTCAAGCGACAAAACAAGAGCGACAATCCGTCGACGGCCAAGTTCCCGCCAAAACTCCTTTTTCACTGCAGTACACAGACTACTATATAAGGGTTACTACGAATCAGACAGGAATCTTAGAACAACCAATACGAAACCCTTTAGAGTAATTATGTTACATACATGTATGTAATTAGTAATTACTCTAAGATGAAACCGGTAGTATGGAGTGTAGAGGTGAAGAGTACAGACTCTGTATAAAAAAGTATCCGTAGGAAAGCGCTAAATAAGGGTGGCACCACTGTTGCTACAGTCTAAATTTTAAAGTACTTTTTATAATTTTTTTATTGTTCAGACTTTCGCCATAATTCTTTTTACAATAATTATTTTATTGCTTTCAAAATTTTTATTTTCAAAATCACTCTCAACGTATTTTACGGTGACTTACACACCCATCATACCCTGTAGCTACTTGATGACCGGTAGTTTACAGTACAGAATAGGATTCTCTGTCTACGGTTTAACACGGTTTAACATTTGTTTACTTCTAATTATTGAGGTATTAGACAAAAGTACACGATTGATAAAGCCTATTTTCGTTACTTTTAAATTTGGTAGTTAAAAGTAAAAGTACACCATTGATAAAGCTTAATTTCGTTCACCTCACAGCTATTAACCATTTAAAAGTTGTCAATTTTAAAATCTTTAGAATTTATAGAACCAAAAAAACAACTGTTATTTTATTAGTTCAAGTTTTTATTTTATTTCTTTTGAATTTTTTATAAGCTTTATCCAGCATTTGCGACAGTTGGTTATGTTATTTTAATCTCACAATATTCAATTCTTTTAAGATTTTATTTACTAGCTTATGGCATTCTCTGCCAATCGACCCTGGATGATTTGAGAAATTGTGACAGGTGTAAACAATCACTTCTTATATAAATAATAAGGATATAAGACAAAATAAAATGCAAATGAATAGAATAGATATAGTTTGTAAAACTATACGTTTACTTAATATTTAATGTATAATGTAGGATAAATAAAAAATATATAAATGGGTACTTCTATACAAAATCTATAAGTAAATTAAATATTATGAGATAAAATAAAATAACACTATACATATTAAAAATACATTTACAAAATATCACTTATAAAGTGAAAGAGAGAGATAAAAATGCGTGCAGCTCACACGTGACAGAAGTGAAACCTTCAAATGAAATGAAATATAAAATACAAATCCTTTATGGCCTTTATTATATTTAATAGTATAATTTAAACTACAAGTTTGGCATAAAATATAAGAAAATTTTTATAGTAAATAAATGTAACAATCCTATTAATATATATATATATATATATATATATATATATATTTTTTTTTTTATATATATATATATATATATATATAATATAAGACACGTAGATATTATATTTTCTTTCGAGTAAAATTATAATAGCGTCACCTACTTCATTCTATAGGTAGTCACTTTATCAAACAACTGATTGACACCCAAGGTGGTACGTAAAATAGACGCTGGATGGATTTATGAAATCACGAATTTTAATGAATGTTTTTTTCTTCAATATGGTTAATTGTATTTGTTAATATTTTATTTCTATATGAAAATCATAGGTTATGAAAAGTGAACCATACAGATTGGAAACGCACTGTTATATCCCTTTTTACAAGGCAATAAAATATTAATAAGCATTTATTTATTCACACGGTACTTTTCCTTAATATAGCTATGGTCAGCAATTATATTGTTATATTGTTTCTTTCCATGTTCGTTTTAATTCCATTTTTAATGATCAGTTAGACTCAGAGCCCCGGGTAGATCGGACATGATTCGAGACGTATTAGAGTTCGGAAGTCAAGGACTTTATTAATTTGGTGTGTGAACTTCTGCAATAAACCTTTAGGTTTATTTGGTGTTTCTTTTTAAAAAGTCAAACGGGATCGGCCTCCTAACAAATTGGTGTCAGAAGTGGGATGCCAGACAGAAGGTCATAAAAGACTTTGGCATCCGAATCCGAGGTCCCCGAAATCACCAAGGTCGACATTAAGCTTTAGCCGTGCCTAAGCCTGCGCTTACCACAAGTTTGGACGACGATCAGCCTCCGCTCTGAAGCGTGAGCCCGCTCCACTCACACCTGGTCCTGAAATCATCCGTCTGGCCGACGATCAGCCTCCACCAGGAGCCCGCACCAGTTGGGTCTAACTCACCAACATAAGAAAAATATATTTGAAGAATATTCTACATCTTCCATTCCTGCTATTTCCCACGACGCGACGGGGTCACTGTGTCAGCGATTCTGCCAGCCGTCAAGAGTGTAACGTGTCACCGAGCTATTGTTACGAGTAAATGCAACGTATAGAAGTTATTATTTTCCTGTAAGTTGTTTTGTTTTCTAATTTAAATTTATCAAATTTACCTTTATTTTACACTGTTTTTTTCATTATAACCTATTTTACTTCGTTTTATTGTGATTATCTTATATAACTTCAATTTTTTTTATTTCTATATCGCTTAAAGCAGAAAAAAGTAAAGACAATATGTCAGAAAAAATCACACTTTAGTTTTTGACGAAATTTATAAAATCTTATAATGGGGAGAAGGAATCCCTCCCCGCTTTTCTTACCAACTGTGATAATTCAATGTCGTTAGCTACGGCAGAACAACAGCCTATTTTGTGCAAATTCATTATCTCACAGCTAGAGGAAAAAGCTCAGGTCGCATGTAGTTTAAAAATTTTTGAAACATGGGACCAAATAAAATCATTTCTTCGTTCTACTTTGGGGAGAAAAAACACGCAACACATTTATTATCAGATTTGCAAAACTGCAAACAGTCTTCCGATGACGTTACTAAATTTTCTTTAAAATTAGAACAAATTTTAACAAAAATTCAGTCAGATATACACTATAGCTGCAAAATTCCTGACGAACTTCCAGGTAGAATAGCCGCCATGGAGGATCTAGCATTAAACACATTTTTATTAGGGTTAAACCCTGCTATTTCTACTATTGTTAGGTGTAGAAATCCTCAAACATTAAACGAAGCTGTTCAATTAGCTATAGATGAAGAAAAATTACAGAATCTTCAAATGTGTTCAAAAAATTCAATGAAGCAGTGTAATATATGTAACAAAGTAGGTCATGTCGCTACGCAATGTTTCAAAAATAAGAACCATTCTAATTTTAAACACAATAAACAAATTTCTCATTTATCTAGTTCTAACTCTGATAAATTAATTTGCAACTATTGCAAAAACATAGGCCACACTATAGATCAATGTAGAAAGCGACAATATAATATGCAACATCGTCAAAATTTTAGTAAAAATTTTAA